AATGGCTATGTGAGACTGTATGTAGCAGACAAAAGGAGGTGTGCCAGACTTTAGCAAGTAAACTTATTTTTAAAACGAACAACGAGCTGAGTTGACCTACCCTTGGCTGGCCCGCCATCTACACACATACATACGTAGGAACATATACATATGTATATATGTATTGATATGTATATGCATATGTATATTACATTAAAACCTATTTCTAGGGTATACTCAATTTGTTATTTTACAACCGTCTTCTATAGCTCGACCACCTGCTTAAGTAGATAAGCTCAAGACGTAGCAAGCCGAATATAAATTGCTTTTGTAGGAGAATACGATATTCATAAACTCATGCACATACATATACATACATACATATCAYTCATATCTTAACCGAACTTATCAAAATGGACAAACCTCTTTACGAAACACAGCATGAGCCAGCGACGGTAACATTGAAGGGACACAACTACTACAACGGCGTCCACAGACATATCATGGAGTACTGGCGTAAGTTTCGGGAGCGCGTGGCTGCCCGTAATCAGACCACAGAGCTTGACGATGATCTGGAAACATTGGAGGAGTATACTCAGCGTTGGCGCTCCGTGCGCGTCATTTACTTTACCATGTTCTTGATGGCTCTCGGCTTTAGCATTATACTCACCGGCATTTGGCCATTCCTGAGCGAGGTACTTATTCCCTCCCTCTATTTAAGCTTATGTATAAAGACTAAAACGCATGCATCTCTATAGCTAGACCCCACTGCGGGCAAGGAGTTTATGGGTTTGATTGTGGCCGCTAATCCGTTGGGCCAAATGATCTTCAGTCCCATCTTCGGTCGCTGGGGCAACAAACTGGGCACCATACGACTTCCTCTCCTCATTTCGTTGGCGCTCTTCTCTGTGGCCAGTGCACTGTATTCGTCATTGGAGCTCCTGAACAATGTTAAGTACTGGATGCTTGTCTCCCGATTCCTCATCGGCGTCAGCTCGGCCAACATTGCGCTCTGCCGTTCCTATTTGTCAGCGGCTACACGACTTAACGAGCGCACCCATGCCGTGTCCATGGTGTCCCTGGCCCAGGTACTGGGCTTTATCATCGGTCCTGGGCTCCAAGCCCTAGTGACACCGCTGGGTCGGAAAGGTCAAGTCTGGTTTTGGGGTGCCATGCATGTAAACATGTACACCGCTTCCGGTTGGATAAATGTGATCATGAGCTTGGGCAACTTCGTAATGTTTCTGCCGGGCTTCTTTGAGGAGCACAGAATAGCCGCGCGTGAGATCATGGTGATGCAGGGCGGCACATCTGAGCGCGAAACCTGGAAGGCAATCAAACCAAATTACTATTCCGCCTGGACCCTTATTGTGGCATTCTTCGTACTGGTCTTCAACTTTGTGTTACTAGAAACGTAAGTTCGATGACGGCTAATTCTTAAATTTGATTCTATTTTTCATTTATTTCCAGTTTGGGAACGTCACTGACCATGGATATGTTCGCCTGGACGAACAATGAGGCGCTCTACAACATGGGCATTTTTATGACCATTGCAGCAATTATATCTCTGGTTACTTTTGTACTTATTGAACCACTTTGCAAAATCTTTGCCGAGCGCTATGTTCTCATCTGGGGCGGATTTTCGTTGATGGTGGTGGGTCGTCTTCTTTATATACCGTGGGGACCGGATCCGCCAAAGCTGGCTATTGCTTACAATGCCAGTTCAAATCTCTCCCTCGATGATCCTTTGTATTTGGGCTGCCCAGTCACACAGGATTGGTGCCCAGAATTGCCAGCGTTGACATTGACGCAGTTCATCATTGGATTTGCATTAACGTCCGTTGGCTATCCAATTGGCGTTACTCTTATACAAACAATATTCTCCAAGGTACTTGGTCCGCGACCGCAAGGGGTCTGGATGGGTATTATGACAGCTGCAGGCTGTCTATCTCGTGTGATGGGCCCTGTTTTCGTTGGCTCCATTTACACACGTTTGGGTACTTACTGGACGTTCGGTTTTACATCTATTATGATGCTCGTTTCTATGATATGGCTGCTGTTCAGCAAGTAAGTAGATGACTAGCATTAATCCTTAACACTCTAATACTCCTTCCTACTTGCAGTCGTGTACTTATTCCACCAGTATTTGAAAAACCACCGATAGCTATGCAGGTGATACATCCGAAAGATAAACAAAACGATGGCACGCCTAACGAAGAGTCAGATGAGCTGTTGGTGGAATCAAAGACGATACGCATAGTGCCCTCAACCCAGGCATAGCAGCATCGTGGACTTTAATATATTATCCCAATGACTGCCTTTAGTATAGAGATTCACTATGAATTTATAGACATAAAATATATTTTGCTAGTAACTTATGATGCTTTTTAATACTAGGTCATTTACATGGTAAAAATCATACGTACAGGATTTTTCATTTTTTCCACAATCGCACAAACATGCATTGGTGCTTAACTTTTTATTTGTTTATATATATGCTAATCACACAAATCCAATAGTTCGTAGTTATTTACGCTTAAGAATGAACTCTTTTGATGAAATAATGCTGCAACTTCTCTGATGCCTGCAATCTTGGTTGCCAGCAGCAGAACATTGACGTCGTCATTATCAGTCAGACAATGCTACATAATTATGATTAGTATGATAGGGATACCTAAAGGGACTATGAATATTTCTTTTGTTTTGTTATTGCTGCTACGTGTAAGGGACTACCAAGGTGGTAGTATCCACATATGTAAGAACGGCAACTGCTGCAGTTGGTGATAATGTTGAATTGTCGGCGACCAGCATAGGAGCCAACATGATGAGCCGCTAAAAGCATTATAATTGTAAACGGGTACCAGTGGTGGTGCACTTGTTGCAAGTGCACTGCTCAAATCTGCTGCTGCTGTCACTCAGCTGCTGCCGTTATAGTAAAACTCATCTCAGTAGGGCGCATACCGGCGACCTGGCGGCGAAGGACCGCGCATGCCACGCGACGATATCATGCGCTCGTCAAAAGAATCGCGACTAAAGTCCTCATATCCATGCGGTGTCGGTGAGCTGCTCAACAAAATACAATAATTAGCATATACGCGTTATCATATTTATAAATATATCCTCACCCGTAGCGACTCATTCCGTTACTGCTGCGTGGCGGCGGAGGAGACCGCCTACTGAACATGGTATCGTATCCACGAGAGACACTACAGGAGCGCAAACTGCCGCTTAGCGGTGGGGGCAGTGGCATGGGTTCACGACGCGAAATTGGTGGCGGTGGGAAATCACGCATGCGTGATGACGCATAGCGACGTTCGTACAGATCGCGTGTATCCTCAAAACGGCGATCATAGTAATCGTAGTCCTAGAGTTGAAGAAAGTGTTAGTGTAAATTTTAAGGTGCTACATTTCGAATGAAAATGAATTGTGTATTTTGATATTTAAAGGGTATTCGCGGCGAGTCGATTTATAGAATAACTGCTTAAAAACTCTGGCAATTAATTTAAAATCAAAATAAATAAATAATAAATTATATATCTTTTAAGATCGTGAGACAGTTCATCTTTAAGCAGTAAATCTTTTAGCCGACCTGTCGAGAGTAGCCATATTTGTCTGCATTTACCCTAAAACCGTCCATTATGCGATCACGCAGGAATGGCGGTGGTGGCGGTGGCGGCGGATACGGATCACGACTGTACATGCGATCTCTGTAGCCGGCGCTCAGCGGTGGTGGCGGCTCGCGTCCACCAGTGCCTGTCCAACGCGGACACTCTTTCGACCAATGACCGGAACGGCCGCAACGATAACACTGCTCCGGATCGCCCATGCCCGGTTTGGGGCGTACACGACTAGTGGACACCTGCACCTTCAGCGGCTGGCCATCAACAACGCGACCGTTCAACTCCTTGATAGCATCCTGCACATCACCGACACAATCCAAATGGACAAACCCATAATTGCGCACAATGTCGCATTCGACGACGGTGCCGTATTTCTGAAATAGTTCGCGCACCTCCGGCGCACGCGTTTTGTCGGTAAGATTTCCAACGAAGATTTTCGTTGTTGGCGTATTGGGGGCGCGTCGACTTTTAGCGGCCTCCACCTTGATGGCGTTATCATTCAAAACGTAACCGTTCAAGTTCTGTATGGCATCGCGACCCTGTTGCTCGGTTTCCATGTGCACAAAGCCATAATTCTTCACCACATCGCATTCGACGACAGTACCGTATTTCTCGAATAGCGCACGCAATTCGGTTGCCTGCGTCTTCTCATCGAGATTACCGATGAACAACTTGAACGTGCCGGCTCCGGGCATCACGGCGACGGTTTCGGCTGCGGCGTCGTCCACGGTTCTTGCGTTAATTCAATATCTTGGGAAGCTTGAGGCGTTAGCGTACGCGAGTTTTGGGTTCTGGTTTGTTTACGCGTTATTGACGTAAATGGAGCACAGCTTGAGAACGACGACAACGGCGGCGGCCGCGACCTCAAAGTGAAAGAAGAAGCAATGCAAATTTTCATTTTGATTTTCATTTATATTGAGGCAGGGCAAGAGACAAGCAACTCGATACAAGTTTAACAACAAAGAAAGGTCACAACGCGTCCAATAAACTCTAAGATCATACACATGCACAACGCGTGAAAAATCATTATAATTTCCACACAATATTCAAAACAAGATGGCGGCGACAGCGACGGCGGCAAGGCGAAAGAAACAGTAGTATGCAGTAGTGGCAGGACGGCGGCTTCTATAGTTGTAAATGCGTTCAAATTTTTAAAGACTTCTTACCTGTGCACTTCTTAATATCAAATAAAATATTTCCCAGAATTTTTTCTCTCAATTCAGTTCAGCAGCTCACACAAAACTCACTTTCCCACAACATGTAGGCAAAATGACTTTTATGTGTATGTGGTGCCAGTGCTGCAAAATGAGATATCGATTACATCAAATTTTTTCTTGTTTAAAAACATCAAGTTGAAATATCGATAAGCTCCCTGCAGTTTACAAATAATATGAGGGATGCAATGTTGTTGCACTTTGCAACACTGGTATTCTGAATTAGCGCTCTTATTAAAAAAGCGGGAAATACATGTAGTTGTAATTAAACAATAATTATGGAAACTCCTACTGGACGTGCTACACGTCCTACTCGAACTGCTACTCCGCGGCTTTCCGAGCGAAAAAAGCAATTGTTTCGTAGCCGCAGCTCCATGTTGGATGAAATAGAAGACGACGGTGACGTAGAGGACCCCTTGTTGGGCATTGCACCTCTGAAGCCAAGACAACAAAGTCAGTCAAAAAAAGCAACTAAAAAGCCAGCTAATGGTCGCAACCTGTTCGAGAATGTTGCTGATAGAGATGATCAGAGTAGTACGGGCAGTTCTCCCGAGACCAATAAGGAAAACAAGAGGCTGCAGAAGACACGTGGCTCAACTGTATCGTTGGGCACGGTGGAGCAATTACCGCAATTGTTTACTAAAACTATGCGCATAAATAGCAATAGTACCACCAGCCAAAGTCACAGTTCCAGTCCAAGCACACCCAAGACACGAGATCATACCGTAGTCTGTAATGAATCTAGCACAGATTCTGATGAGTCTTCAACTGGCAAGAAGCGAAAGGTAACTAAGAGAGCACATGAAATGCCTGCAGTGACAATCGAGTCTTCACCGGAATCCAGCACTACGTCACCGCAGTGCAAGCTGCGCAGGACAGAAAAAGAATGTATACCGACAGTGGCGTTCTATTCGCACTCCAACAGTGCTCAAAGCGTTTCGCGCAGATCAGGTTCGATGTCTTCGAAAAGTACACGCAAGTCGGCACAACACCAACGCAAGACTAAGGCTATCTCACCCCCGTCTCGTCCTCGACTGGGTATCAATAAGGGCGTGCATCACAACATACGAAAACGTCAGCGAACGAGTGCATCGGTTAATTTGGATGATATATTGGGCTCGTTGCGAAATGAGAAATTGCGACAGCTGATTACCACGAAGAGAGAGGAACGCGCTAAGATAGAGGAGGTCCACGACATACTGCGCAAAGCCGAAGATCCCATTAAAATGGCTAAGCCCCTAAGTGTAATCGCTCTTGACGACGCCAATAATAATAATAACAATAATAATAATAATATGGAAACTGATGCACAATTTTTATCTGCCCTGGATTTTTCTGACCTTAGCGACGAGGAAACACAGCCTGTTGCAATGGAACTCGAACCAGTTATACCAATTATACGTCATTCTAATCCAACAGACACATCGCCCAACTCTGAGCCTCCCAACAATCGTAAGTTCTTTAAATCCGGCAGACGCAGCAGTACGTGTATGGAGGTGCGAATCACTGATAATATTCGCGCTAGTGTCAGTCAGGGCAAGATATCGTTAATGGAAGCCCCCATAAAAACACATCGACAAGTGCGCGTTAAATCCGCTACGATATTTTCAGCAGAACAGGCAACCGTGGATGCAATACTACGAAATCTCGACGAGACCGTAGTGGATGAAATTGTTGAGCCAGAATCAAATGAGAAAAAAGTACCTCAATCTCTGTCAGTTCCTGAAATAGAGGAGCAGCTGGTGGTGCCAGATCCATACGAAAAGTACCGTCAGCAATTGCCGTACAAAACAGATGATCCGGCTGTCATTGAACAGCAAACACTCTTGCTGGAGTTTCTAATCACCAATGACATATGTACAGATAAGAATTTTGAAATATTCATAACTGATCCAGATAATCACAAGGAGGAGGCCACGCGCATTGTCGATAATTTATATACGGTAGTCTATGCGGATCAGTTGGATGTTTTAGAACCTGAGCAACAGAACTACATCAAAACTGAAATCGAACATGTACCTGGAAAGGATGACAGTCCAGCGGTGGATATAGTGGATAGCAACAAAACAGAGGCAATTTCATTGCCCGTTGAGCCACAAGGTAAATTGTTTCCCATTTTCACACAACGCCTCCAACCAATACCACAAAAGTCAACGCGTCATAAGGCTAATCCCTCGATGAGGTTAATGGCTGGTGCGAGTGGTTCCAATCAGTATCAAATCGATGCTGGTCAAAGGGCTTTTGGAGCCAGGCAGTGCCAACAATGTGGACTAGTCTATACCGTCCATGAGCCGGAGGAGGAACAGTTGCATAGGGAATATCATGATTCTGTCCATGTGCTACGGTTTAAGGGCTGGATAGATGAAGATATAGTAGCCGTTTATCCGGAATGGTCGCCTGATGGACGGATTATACGTTTGAATGAACGTGCACCTCACGCTCGCCTACAGAGGCTTGCAGAACTGATCAAGGTAATAGACAAGGAACTAGGCTACTCTTCGTATATCGTCCCAAAGACATTTGTCGCCTTCTTTGCTGTGCGTAAACAGCAAATTGTGGGACTGTGCCTTGTTCACCCGCTGACGCAGGCGCATCGTTTCATTCAAGTCGATGGCACCGACTACTTTAGCGAAGAGACTTTTGAGGCTAGGTAAGTGTCAAGTGTTAGACTTATGTTAACCGTTTGTCACTAGTAACGTTCTCTATATTTTATCTAGTTGCGGTGTCTCCCGTATTTGGGTTTCGTCGTTGCAACGTCGTAAAGGAATTGCTACCAAATTGCTGCGCGCAGTGCAATATCACACCGTTTTGGGCGTTGAAATACATCGTGATCGAATTGCATTTAGCACCCCGACAGATGATGGGCGCGCTTTGATTCGTCAATTTACGCAGACTGACAATTTCCTGACATACGACCAGTGAAGTCAGAAACCTAATTTGTTTGGCTATTGAATAGCTAGCAATTTGCGCTGTTGAATATCGTTTACTGTATATCTCTGTTTTAATTATTAAGAACAAAAATTTATACTTTGAAATGAAATTATGTTATATTTAAGCAATATTCTCCATAATAGTGTTTCACTTCTGCATCTTCGTTTTTTTTTTCGAAGCATACTTCGAGACGCCTTAAAAAATGCATACTCCATATATTAGTCGATAGTAATATATCGATATTTTCAATATTGATCCCTAGCAGCATTGCAAGACACGCATCGATATCTTAGTGTGCGAGTTTAGCTTGTGAGCCAGGCTTTGGGCGTTGTTTTTATTAAAGATCAAGAAATATTTGAATTATTAATTATAAACGTATATTGACTGTCCAGAAATTGAAATAAAACGTGCTGAGTTTCAACTGCAGTTATCCTCAATTGAGAGCAAATGGTAAGTGGTCTAAATAAATAAATGATGTCTAGCAAAGCAACGCGGCAATGAGTGCCACGCCCAACGTAACTGAATTGAAGTAAAATCAACAGCAGCATTTGGGGTTGAATGCAGTTAGTTGTCAACGTTTCTTATTGAGTACATGTACATTCCAGACAATACGGCGTTGCACTTGTGGTCAGCAAGAAAAGCGTGTAGCTAATAGAGAAATAGGCCAGTGACTTCATCAGTCAACGGCTTCTCAAATTACACTTATAAGTCAATAAAGGCAGAGCTTGTGGGACTATGTCCACAATTGAAGAGGAGCGTAAAGCGTATATTAATAATCCATATTTCACTGGACCCATATACGGCAGCTTTAAGCCGTTTTATGTGACTATTGCTATTTGCACAGTTGTGCTCGGCTCGATAATTATATTGAACATCATCTTGGGCTGCTGCTCCAAGCACCGTAAGTATTGGCAAGACCGGCATACGGGCAATCGCTGGCTAGTTTCCATTTGGTCTTCAACGCCGCATAAGCAACCCCCACTTGACTTTACTGAACTACAGGACGCCAGCTATTTCGATCGATTCCACGTGAGTGAACAATTCAACTTTGAAAGCTTTCCCACCATGACATATTTATGCATTGCAGCCAACCACTCACCAGCAAGTATTTCCCAGTGACGTTGTCGTTTCCGTTGACGATTTAGAGCCCGTACATCAGTCGCATCATCAGCAGCGACCACCCCGTCCAGAGGGTCGTACATTGCATCAGCAACGACAGCGCGAAGAATACGTTGAGTTGCAGAAGCGCGAAAGTGACATTTAAGCCATGGCTCTATATATTCTATATCCCGCCGTAGCTGCCGTAGCTCTCTTCGTTATAGGCGTCATCATTGTCATGCTACGCTATGGGCCGCGTCTATGCGGTCTGCGCCATCATGCTCTGCCCGACAATCATGACATGCGGGAAAAGACCTACGAGCATGAGATTAGCTATGCCTGATCCGCCATTTTCATATATTTTTATACACAACCACTTCAACTAACCATATTCATAAGTTTCTATATTGTCCATAACTAACTTTTCACAACAAAATGTAATTGTGTCTGCTGGAATTGCACAATTTTTTTTACATACATGCAGTACAAAATGCCTTCTACATTCGTCAGCAAGCTTTTATATCATTCCATTACGAAAACATACAAATTATGTGCCTTCAATATCTCAATGAGAAATGTTTGCCGTCCAAGTGTCTTCTAGAATTTTAAGAGTGCTCAGTATAATATATATATATATATATATATCTATACCCTTTTGGTACGTACAGAAAAAAGTTATAACCCTTTTATATTGAATTGAAACAACTATAATGCACTTGTAAGAAATATAATTTATAAACAAACTCTACATTTGTATTAAAAACATTTATACCACATTTGACTAATAAAAATTGCATTTCAATAGAAACAGAACTTTGAAGTCGATCGCATAATTAAAATAATTTGGACAAATATGCTTTAGATAGCCATATCTATATTGATGAAAAGAACTTAAATGACTCCAAAAAATAAAGGAACCTTTTATATTAAATATGTATTAAACTAGAAATGCATATGAAAACATATATGACTAAAAAGTAGATAACAGACGCATTTTGTATTCGGCAATGCAAATGGAAGAAAGCACTTCGTATTTCTTTTCAATTGTTAGTAGATTTGATGTTCCTGGGCCAGCGCAAAAGTCATACGGACTCATCGACGTAAATTTAATAGTTTTTAATAGATTACTAATGTATTCTTCTTTTTTCTTGTTCTCTTTTTCGTCGCTTTGTTCACTTGTCATTTGCTCTGTATTCGCATCTGAACTGTTTTCTGTGTCGTTTTCATTTTCATCTTTCTTGAACGATTCATTTCCTATTTCTCGATCTGATGCTTCGGCATTTTTAATATTTGCATTTGGTATTTCTAATAATGGCTTAACTCTTTTGGTAAGAGGCGAATAATCTCCGCATTCATATTCGTGGTCACTGTCAGCGGTTGAATTCAGTTGTGAAGATTTTGCCGAGCTTTCCACTAGACCATGTATTTTACAATAACGATCTATCACACTGAATCGTACCTTATCCCCAACAAGATCACTTAGCTCCTCGATAAATTTTAAAAAGACCTCCGAGCTTAGATCAAAAACTGCAGCCGCATTGATATAGGCATCCGGGTTAAAACGAAATTTCTAAAAGAATAACTTCGAATGCTGAATTTCTCACCATATTATTAATGTCAGTAATACTTACCGATGTAATGTTGCTGATTAGCTCTTCATCTTCGAGCTGGTGGCTATATTCGAATAGATCAATAGTCACATCCGCTTCTAAGCCGCTGGATAGCCGCCTTTTAATCACATTCAAGCAATTGGTGGTAAAAAAGGTTACCATGAACTTTTTGCTTAGATATATCAATGTTTGCAGTGTCTGTAGATCATATGTGTCCAGTCGACGATTATCGTGCCAGTACAAATATTCCATGAACTTCTTAAAGTCATTTCCCGACACATCGTCTAGGACAATATTATCGGGTATCTTTGCCTCTTCGAAGTCGCCCTCAAACATGCGCTCGAAAACAGGAGAAACACTGAAGGATATTTTAACATTGTGTATTGTGGATTTGAATAAATACAGCACATATTTTACGCACCTCATGAGAACAAATTTGTGACATTTTAAGATAACTTTTTTGCCATCGTTATCATAGACAACAAAACTACAATCCGACAAATGGCCGGTCCTCAACAAATATTCCATGCGTTCTCTCGGTCTGAAAAAAATCAAATATAGTTAAGAACTAATATCTGGAAAATATTCGTCAGAAATGTTTGCAATCTGTACAAAAAGAAACTAAAATCCAATAAGGACATTTCGTACCCATATACATCAATATCAAATTGTATTTGATATTCTTGCGTTTAAAAATATCTTGATTATTTCTTACCGGAGATCTTGCCAGTTTGATCCCGTATTCTGCATTTTGCTAATAAAGTTTAAATAAAATAGAATAAAAGAGCGGTTTGCGCACAGGTAAAAATTGCGGCGTCAATGCAAAATATATACGGTGTTGTAAAACGTCTAAAGAAGAACTGCGAATTTTTATAGAATAGGGTCACTCCCATGAATCAGCTGTTTACTGTTTTCTGTTGCCGTTGTTGAATTCAATATTAAGTTAAGCACCCACCTGCACATATAAAAATGATTTTATTTRTTTACATTTGGATCGGAATCGGCCTACTGCCACTTAGTCAAGCAGCAATAAGTGAGTGCCCCACATACAATGTACCATTGATGCGTGCCGAATTGGAGGCAGCTAGTGAAGTCTCTTTGGTGTTTTACTACGTGTCTTGGTCGAGCGATGCCAGACAGGCCCGTTTGGTCTACGATGGCGTGGCGCATTATTACAAAGATTACGCTTCATTTGGCGCCGTAGATTGCTGGCACCTACAATGCAACTGCAGCCGCACACATAGGCAGCTTCCCGGCATGGCAATTAACGGCGGCTATCCCGACAAATGGCCCACGTTGGTGGTGAACTATGGGCGGAAATTGAAGCTGCAGTATCAGGGTGCATGGCATTTTGAAGATTTGACACGATTCATGAATAATCTTATACAGCCTATTGACCGCATACATATCACCTCTGAGTTGGGCGCTCTATGGAGGATCTCGGATGCCGTTGTGCTAGCTCTGCTGGAATCAGCAGACAGTCAGGAATATAGGCGCTTCTTGGCGACCGCAATACATTGGTTAGAGTTTGATCCGGAGCGTAACGTACGGTTTGCTGTTACGTTTGGCCAAAGAGCTAAAGAAATTCTCAAATTGGAACAGATAATACTGCCTCAACTAGTGCTCATAGATAATCGGTATATATTGCACAGCTATAATAAATCGAATATATGGCGCCCAATGGAGATCTTGCATTGGATACGACCCAAGGTCAATCCTCTCCAGGCAGCTGGCTATGGAACACCCGCAAAGATTGCGATTAAAGCGCGTCACATGCCCGTGCTGGCCATGAGCATACGAATGCGCAAAGAGCACTCGGCAATGCCCTTAGCCATTGGCGAGGAGGCACTTCGTGGAGAAAATGTTGACTGCGAAAAATATTCGCACGAAGATGTTCTCGACTACCAAGAGTCGCGTTACAGGTCACTGATGCAGATGCCGATGCATCTGTATGAAGGCGCAAAGACTTCGGAGCAGTTAGCTAACAATTGCTATCGAGCATTTCAGCTTTCAGAAGCCACACTGACGAACTACTACTCCATCAATGAGTTTCTCAACTATCTATGGTCACATCACTCTCACGAAAACGACTTGGAATCGGAAACACGTCAGCTCATGGGCCTGCACAAACGCAATCGCTGCTTAGCGCACACCCATTCACAGCAAGGCACGCCAGCCTTAAAGATTGGCATAGCCAAGATGGTTGCCAAATATAGCCATCTGCTGTGGCAGCATTCAACCGCAGAGTTATCGCACAATCGTTCTCTGGCCGTCGTGCTCTTTGATGGCGCCAAATATCGCGATTTTCTGCAACAACTTGGCGTCGATCAAGTCCAACTGAATGGGAATCACCGAAGAGACAGTTCAGGAGTACAGGCTTTCATAGTGGATGCAGCAGCAGAATCAGTGCATGTCATGCCACAGCATCAGACGCTCACCTACCAGGCACTGACTGAATTCATTAAACAGTTCTATGCCCGGCAGCTACCACGAGTACAAAGGAACCACATATTAAACTCTGCCCCATCTCGGGATGCATCATATATACAGAATTACAATCGTCACTTATTGCTCCAGGCATTGCAACGCGCTAATGCAACAAATGTAGTACTCATATACCGTCCGGATTGTGAACTCTCCGCCATTATGTCGCAAGAAGTGATGCAAGTAGCAGCTATGTTACGAAGTCCCGATGTGAATTTTATACGCTTTAATAGCCAGGCAAACGATTTGCCTTGGGAGCTAACTATGTCAGTGACGCCGGCGCTGCTCGTGTTTCCCCAATCGCGTCCCACCGAGTCTGCAATATTTCCAATTGATATGCGAGTGGATACGGCTAACGTTATGTCTTTCATACTGGCTCAATTGGAACCAGAGCAGCAGTTGCGCTTAGTCTTAGCCAGTTGTCGAAGGCGTTTGCGTCATGCGCGGAGTTGCTTGGACTTTGCCGGGAAGCTGGTGCTTCAGCACGTCAGTCAATATTTGAGATACTGGGAGGTATTTGTGAAAGAGCGTGATATTATCTTGTCACACCTCAAGCAATTTAATGAGATGCACATAGCCATCGAGAGTAGCATAAAGCTATAGTATATGAAATTAAAGCTCCTAATTAACTTCGAATACAAGTAATTATTGGGTAAGTTTAATGCAGGATATTTAAATTCCATACGTCGATAGATAATAAGTCTACTTTAAGGAATTAGTAGAACAACATATAAGCGTTGACTGATTAATAGGTATTTGTTGATTACTAAACGTTATAGAACTAAAGAATAAATAAATGTAGTATCAAATGTAGGAAGATGTTTTTTTTTAAGTAAACTCTTACTTTATTTTCAAATCTGAATTCTGTGTGACCAGTCATCAGGTAGGTAGAAAAATGTATGCTAATAGCTGTTACTATCGATATACATATTTCGATTAAAAAATTACACCAATACACTTCAAACTCTACAACACAGTCACTTAAAATGTCACGATATTCAGATAAAGTTAATATAATAAACCAAAGTACATATCAAATTTTAAAAGAGGGTAATGGAGCCTCCAGACGAAAGCTACTGCACAGTTCGAAGTATAAAAACAAGCACAATGTCGAACAAAAGTTGTCTCTGTTCGATTTTCTTACTGTGCCTCGGCAGAAGCAGAAACATCAAAGACGACCCCACCTGATCATTGCTAGAAAGTCGGTGTCACTGCAAACCAAACGAAAGGGAAAGACGCGTTTGCATCCTAAACGTCGAATAGCACGTCTAAAACGCATCATTCGAAACTATCGCAGCTTTAAGCAGCACATTGTTGATAGCCACACAAAATGTGTGGAACAGGAACAAAAGGCTTCAGAATGTGTTTCTTTGGGCTTTGATGAAACAAATGTTAATTCTATTCTACAACAGAAGGTCCATAATTTAGCTTTCTGTGTCACGGGAAATGAAAATAAAGTAATTGAGCAGAATCCGTCAGCTCACCAGAACGTCGAGCCAATTGCCTTACAAGTTATAGAAGACTTAAAATGTCTTTCTCTGGATGAGGGTACGTCAAAAAAAGTGGCCCTACCCACCCCAACACATAAAATACATTCCCGGCGGTTTAGAAGGTGCGTAAAGTATAAATTAATCTAGCTTCACCAACTGATCATAAATTTCATATACAGCTACTGCGATAACTGCACGACACCTCGTCTGAAAGAGTTGACAACTCAATTGCTAAATGACTTGGATCGTTTTCAGAAACGCGCATACGCTCATAATGAAATTAAAGCACGAGCACATCCCCGCTTCGTGGTGGGCTTTCGAGAGTCATTGTCTAGGCTGCGCATTTACAAAGTGAAGTTGCTTATCCTGGCACCCGACTGTGAGATCTGCCCTATTCCTGGTAACTAAGCTATTTATATGTAAAAACCTTTTATCTATCATTCCTTTTATAACATCTGTTTAGGCGGCTTGGACGATACGATAGATGAGCTGAAGTCTGTTTGTCAGCAGCAAAATGTGCCTTACTGCTTCTCGCTAATGCGTCGGGAGTTAGCCCATGCCCTGTACAAGCGAGCACAAATATCGTGTGTCGCCATTCTGAACTACGATGGAGCCAATGAAACGTTTAAGCAACTACTTCAAGAGTTGGATGTGGCAAGCTACCAATACAAATGCGTAACTGCAACGTGATCTTTATTTAATCAAGTAGAGAAAGTGCCAAAAAGGTGCCTACACAAATATGTCAATAAACATAAATTGATGTTCGTGAAGTTCACTAATTCAAAGGTGTCATCATGGTAGTAGTGACCAGATCGAATAGTGAAGAGCTTTCATTACCAAATTCTGTGGCAGCTCCCACCAATCCTGCTGTGTCGTTGAAGCTATTAAATGAGTTGATTGCATCCTTTGCTTGCTGTGCCGCCAAGTTGAATTGTATGAGAATAATGAGATAACTAGTGATGCCGCCGCTCACACCATACAAAGTTTCCATATCCAGCGTGAAGAAACCGCAAGCCGAAAAGTCCACGGAATGATTAAGCAGCTTGAGAGACAAGTGATTCACAATTTCGTACAGCAAGTTATCATCAGCCACGACTCCGCATTTATGCAAACTGATGCCAGTGCGCTTGGAGGCCAACGAGGTTTTCCAGCTCAAGTAAATCAGATAAATGCATTTTCCCGATGTATAGATCAATACGACCACCGTGATAAAAGGACTCTTCGCAGAGCGAAACAACGAGGGTATCGACTGTGCTCGCGTGGCACAGTACAGAAAATACAGCTGAGCCGTAAATATCAAGAAGCCGTACGCCATTAGCGAAAGAATTGGATAGCTCCATAAACCATTCATTGCCTTGCCTATCTCACAGATCTCGTCGTGAACTTGACACAGATTGTTCAGCTTTTCCTCGACTTTGGTTGCATTGCTTAACTCGCTTTCGTGAGCCATGTTTATCATTGGAGTTGCATTCGACTGTTGAAGCTTGCGAGGCGATTGAATCGATTCCCCAAAGGAGTTCATTGAGTGGGCAACTAAGTTCATTAAATATAACAAACCACATGATTGTGAACAAAAAGTCAAAAATGTGTATTACTTACTTGGGGCAACCTTGTTCTTGCCTTTGCTACCTGAACCCCTCAGTGAACCTACATCGATACCACCGAGTTCCTTGTATAAGTATTCCAGATTACTGTCGTATTGTGGCGGTTGCGATGCAGATTCTTCTGCTGCGTGGTCCTCAATGGAATTATTGCGATCGTCTCCATTTAACCAGGTTAGGAACTTTTCGTGCTCTGTCACTAGATCTTCCAACGTGGCATTGATGGCCTCAAAACGCTCCTTAAGGGCATACAGCGACACGGCAAACCAAATTTTATCCAGAGTATTGATAAAAGTCGGAATTGCGGAGACAATCCACAATAGTGATAATAACTGCGTATAATCAACGAGCTTAACGTATGTGCTCAACAGAATGAAGACCTCGAAAACAAACGTCATTAGAAGCATTATTCGAATTCGCTTTGCTATAGTGCTGTTGTCCACCAGGCATTGCTCGCGGTACAAACGTTCATCAACTACGCGTATACGTTCGTAGAGGTCGCCCAGTCGTCCTTGGTTAAAGAGCGCTGTCACCTGATCCGTGACCATCATGATAAGCCCAATATAGGTCAAAAACAGGCCAATAACGAATGTCAAGGTGCCTGAATGCTTTCGTTATTTAATTGAAGTAAATACTTCGTCTTATCCTACTCACTTTGAGTTGCTTTGAGCGAGCGATCCTCTTCTCCGAATGAATAAATGAGCAGATTATAGAGCACTATATAAAGCATCAACATGGCCAGCATATAGATCATGCCATTGCGCGACTTTTCCAATACATTTTTAAATCGAAACTTGGCCAAATCCTGTGGCAATACGCCCACTAATTTGGATAAGAAAAACAGTTGCTGGAATTGCAGCAACAACGGTTGCACTATTGGCGTCGGCTGGGACATGTTGCGCGCTGGTCAGAACAAACTCAAATGGTAAATAATCGACCGAGAAATATTTCTAGCTGACTACCACTTTACCTAATTAAATTGGTTTGTTGGTCGAGTGAATTGTTCAGCTAATCGATACAATCAACGAATGCAATCTCAATAGTCCTTTCGCTTAATGGCAAAGGGTTTACATGAGGGAAAATATATTTTTATTGAATTACCTTCCACTGTATGTATATATAATACAATAAATAATTAATTATCAACCAAAAATAGATATTAAAGATATTGTAAATTTAATACAACATGCAGATTTAAACCTGGGACCTTTCATTAAGAATTATTCAATAGCATATGGCCATATAAATTACATTGATAGTCTTTTGAATGAATTGAGTTTTATTAGATGGTATTTAGGTCGGGATTTGCATGGTTTTCGTGTACCAAATATTAAATTTTGTGTATTTGGTGGAATATATAATAGAAAGCCAAAAGATTAACACAGGCCCTCCTTTTATTTGAAATTTAAAATTGTATCCAATGTAATTCATTTGAAATTTGTCAGTAGATCATTTTTCTTATTGCTTCTTCTTGCGACGATCATTCTGCTTTTGTTCCTCCTGAAAATTAAATGAAATATTACAATATGTTAATCACTGTTTCCAAGGTTATAAATATAGTTTCACAAATGGCGAGCTTTATGTGAGAATATCGATTTTAAATGAGTTATTCGTAAACCTGGAAATAAATATACTTCCATCAAAAAAATCAAATGCGAAGGCCAGTAGGAAAATAACACCTAAAGACTTTTGTGAAAGTATACTTATTGCCTTGGACATACGAAATATAGGTATAAGCTTAAATCGTTAATACCGTTTCGATTGAATATAAAAATTATGGTTTTGCACAATTTAAAGATATTGATTGATAAAAATTGTCAGATCAAGGGTATTCATTATTGGGTTTGTCGCTAAATTGTTCTAACGACTATTAAACCATAAAGCTCTTGAGCTGTAAGATAGGGCACAACATTGAGCACAAGTCAAACATACTATTGCTACCTTGACAGATGACAATTGAAATAAGGTTTTTGTCAACAAACCTTTTGCGTTAAGATAATCAGCAAACGGCGGAACATGCTCAAGACGTCGAAGAAAAGATCCAATGCATGTTGTACCACATCGCGGTTGCCCATGCGGCACTTATCCACAATATTTTGGGTATCGTACACTATGAAGGCAGCCATAACGAAGACGCCAACGTATAATTGAGTCTAAGACGAAGATAATATATTAGCTGGATCAATCTGAATACACTTTGATATTACTTACAATTTGCACAAAGTAGGATTTAAAGATCATGTTGAAGAGACTGAGAAGAGCCATGCAGTTTATAACGCTCACTAACATGCCGCCCAGATACAAATACTTGCCCTGTTCAGCAAGCAGAGCGGCTAGCGATAAGGAACCAAAAGTTACAAATGTCCCAGTTAGTGCAGTTAATATAATCGCCGGATTAATGCTGCAAATGTAGTCCAACAATGGACCCAATGTTTGTCCCGAACAGAATCCAAAAGCATAAAGCATTCCCAAGCGTGTATAATAATTTTTGCCATCGTCTTTATAAAAGTGAAGACCAAGAACCAGCACCAATGAAGCAATGGC